TTAACGTTGTACTAGAAGTACGTGATTTGAACTATCGCCACTTTACACGTATCTTATTTGAAGGTAAATAAAACCATTGCGACCCAAAAACCTAGCAAATTCGACAAAAAAAATAAAAATTTTAGGAACTCCCAAATGGCCCGTATTCTGAGAATCACCCTTAAACGTTAGTTGTGCATCTCTCATTGAGTCAGACACCATGGTCAGCAAGATGGTTCTCGTTGCCTTCATGGCCCTTTGTTGCAGCCAGGTTAGCATTGCCCAGCCAATGTGGGCTAGCCACGACGGTTTTTCCTTTAACATGAAATTATCGCACATAGAAATGCCAAAAAAAAAACAGCATGACGCTGGATTTATGGCAATTATTCGGCTCCATTTGCCACTGCGGACTACCAGTGTCTGTTTCAGGTAGCGTCATTAAGGTGTTTCAAAAAACATTAACATATGCCTTAATGGGCTTTATTGAAAAGTTCAGGCATCAATCTGAATCTGTGCCAAATTTTAGACCTGTCCGATGAGGGGAACCATCCGCGCCTCACCGCCAAAGTTAGTGCCACTTTTCAGATGGTGGAAGTTACTTTGTGTGGAATTTCATACCTGCCCGCGTCAAATATGATTTAAAATTTAGAGGGGCCGTTGTAAATGGCTCTCTCCATCGGTGCGGTCTGAAATTTGACACCAAGTCATACTTACTGCGACTGTGTGCAACATTTAGACATTTATTTGTCAAATGGAACTCAAACTTTGCGGGAGAGGCGTGAATAGTTCCCATCAGCGGAGATGTCTCAAATTTGGCGCAAATTCAGATCGAGTCATGAACTTGTGAATAAAGTCCATTCAAGCATAAGTCAACTTTTTTTTAAACACCCTAAGCGCTATGCCGAAAAATCGCATCATATGCGTGAGGTTTTTCAGTTATCGCGACACCCATTCTGTAGTGAAGAAATAAAAAAGCGGTCTTGTAAATGTTGTTCCCTTTACTTCTAAGATACTAAAAATCACTTGCCTGACTCCGTATCTTAAAAATTGGAGAGCATGGGATTTTCTGCACGTTTCCTGTGTGATGCCGTTTTTTGAAATGTCTATCGTGCCATGCCGTTTTATAGCATGCCACAGAAGTCATGACCCTTAAACGGCATAAGGTCTGACCTTCGAAGTTTCAGTGTTAAAAGCTCACAAAAGTGAAATTATATAAAGTGGCTTGTATTCTAGGCTCTTGTGTCTGCGGCCCCGAAGACTACCTCAGACCTCAAATGGGATCAGTGCCTCAACATATTGCCAGCGGTACGTAACCAATGACTTTGGACGGATAACTACACGTGCGCTTTTCGGCGTGATTTGCTATTTTTTTTCTTTATTCTTTACAGCGCGTTGTTGTTGACGCCTACTCTGTGGTTGATGTCATCAAGCGCTCCCACCACCGTACATCGGACGAGGCCACTGTCGCGTGCTTCAATAAGTACCAGAACGACCCCGAAGCCGAAGCTGAGTGCAAGACGGCCGCCTTTGAGGCGTTATACAGCAAAATGAACCAAAAGGCGGGAGACATTAAAGAGGTCAAGACGACACTCGACAAAATCAGTAATGACTGCACCGACAGTTCTTCCCAGAAGGCCGGACAGCTCGCGGACTTGTATATCCCCGATTGGGCGAGTTGCACGAACGCATTGACACTGGTAAGTAAACAGCGACTTCGGACGCACGACTCCGACTGCTCTTTCCGGCATATACTTGCTAACTCCCGCATATTACTTAACAGAGCCTCATCCAAAACACAAGGACCACGCTTGACAACGTTCTGAAGACCATCAACACCGTCAACGCTGACCGTCAAGCCTGCGACGCGAACGCCACCAACGAGGCCGCCCTCGATGCTTGCAAAATTCAGGCCCAGAAAGCAATGTACCTCGGAATTCGTTATGCTGAAGTTAAAAAGGTCTGGAAATCATTCAACCAAGTTTCTGCAGATTGCCTTTCTCCATTGCCGTAAAAACAACGACGCTGACGAGGCCACTCTCGAAGTTTGCAAGAAGGCCACCTTGCACGAGATGTACCTTGGAATTTATGCAGAAATCTCTGCTTCTCGAGAAAAGAGATCGAAAGCATCCAGAAATTATATGACCGAGTTTTATTAAAAAACACATTAGTCCATGGGTTTGGTTCAATTGTTTTTCAAGCACCTCATTTTAATCGACGAGAGCTGAGATGGTGGAAATAAAATAAAATACCGAGTATGCCTCCAACAAATTAACTACCTCAGTCGTGGTTCATACCTTCCGCACTAAGAATGACCGGACAGGACCATAAGCATGACCCATATTTTGGGGCGGTAACATTTTCCGCGCGCCGGCCAATAATGTTGCTTCAGTTTCAACGATAATTGACTCAAATTCAGTGTGGCAGCGTTGCGCAAATGAAGATATCATTTAATCACTTCAAATTTGTATTAATTTTAATACTGCGTGAAAAGCGTAAGCTAGAAAGATTGCTTCGGTCTCTACACGCTTCGTCTGCAAAACAATTGAATGTTTGTTATGTTCCTATCCCCACCACCGCCCCAGAGGCCATCTTCTTCTTGTTCTTCTTTACAGTGAAGTGCTCCATGGCACGAAACTGCATTGTCATGCGTCCAGAAGTGTGTGCAACCTATAACAAGCAGGCCCACCCTTCCGAAGAGCCCTGCATCCAGGCAGCCTGGGATGCCTACATGGCGTCCGAATGCGAATCGGAGTGAGAGGGAGCTATGGACAGGCGCGAGCTTCTCGCTCCCACAACCGCTTTCGGACTCCATGTAGGCATCCGATTCTCGCTCGATGCAGGGCTCTGCCCTTCCGCCAAACGGAGTTGCCAGCTCCACTTCGCTGCGTCGTAAACTCCGTTAGTCAGGGCCCGGGCCTGCCTTGCCTGCCGGCGGCGATGGTTGGGCCTAGGGCTGTGCGGTATTGAAATTTCAGTACCGAACTTCGGTATTAAAAAAATACCGAAACTCGTCGGTATCGGTTATCGATACCGTACCGAAAATACCGAAATACCGAAATATCGAAATACCGAAGTATCGAAATTTCGAAGTATCGAAATTTCGACGACAGAGAAGCTAACGAGGAAGTGAAACAATTTGTGCACTTTGAAAACAGCGCGCGATGCCATGTCTGCCGCCTGACATGCCAGCAACGCCAGTAGTTCCATCTAGCGTCGTAGTAGGCGTACTAGCCTGGGGGAGGGGGGGGGGACAAGTAAAAGTAAAGGTTTGAGGGGCGCGCGCACCCACTCTGACTCTGAGTACCAAATTCTTCGTATTATGGAAATATCGAAATATGGAAATACCGAAATACCGAAATACCGAAATTCCCAAACTTTCGGTATTTTTCGATATTTCGATAATACCGAAATATCGATCCCGAATTGCAAAAATTTAAAATACCGAAGCCTCGGTATAAAAAAAATACCGATACCGTTTCGGTATTCCCGAATATCGCACAGCCCTAGTTGGGCCTCCGGCCCGACCATTTCCGTCACGCGATTTACTGAAGAACGTAATCAAATGATGTGACCTGCAAAGTTACTTTGCATTTTTGAGTAAACTAAGGCTTCCGGCGGGGGGCCTGTGGCTGTAGGGATTTGCTTCTTGGACATGACAAGAGACAGTAAATGATGGGGCAACACCGTGGTAACGACAATAAAATACTTCGCAATAAGCATGCTTATTAATGCCAGCTTTCGTTTTACCCCCAAAACTCCACAGCAGCTTCTTTGAAGATGACATGACCTCGGGATTGGAGGCCACATTAAAACTGCGACATATGGCAACACTGGTTTTATAATCAAGATAATGCTTGGAACTCAATGCAAGTATCATTGCTAAAATTTTCCTCCCATTCATACCGATGGCTCCTTGCGAAAACATACGTTCTGTACGGTACGCGTCTAAACCATACGATCTATACGGTACGTCTCTAAAACATACTATCCGTTTTCGGCGGTTTTCGCTATCATATTTTCGGCAGCCGTTTGGGAATGAAAGAAAGTTATTAAACATTCATTTCTCGGTCTTAGGTGAAAGTTCAACCTTCCATCTTTGTATTCCTCCACTAAAAACGACAAATTTTTACTTGCAAATCCAGTAAATTGTCTAACAAAAATATGCTTGCAAAAAAAAAGCTAAAAATGGATCGTATGTTTCAGACACGTACCGTACAGAACGTATGCTTGTGTCATCTTTGACAATGCTTTGCTTAAGAATAAAAAAAGTGCACTTAAAGATATCTATGATGGTGATGGCTACAGAGCCTTAAATGTTGGCTTGTTTGATATATCCTACCTGTTAAATACTGATGGTTTTAACCTTAGTAAGTCTTCGGGCACAGAGGCATAGGCATTATTTGTCATGAAACCCGGCCCCGCGGTCCTGCTGCCGTCTGGCGACGGGGGCGTGGTTTCAGACAGATTGGGGTGGCAGGGCGCCGTCCTCGTGGGCGATGACGGGTCCTGGCGAGGGTGAGCCGACCGGAAGGGCGCTACGACGCAAGTCTCCCCGAACCGAAGCCGGTAGAACTGCACCGGGGGCACCGGCAGGTGGCGGGGGTCACTGAGATCGAAGGCGGGGCCCTCCGGATCGTAACAGGTGTTGTACGGGGCGGCCGGGGCACGATGACGAGAGCTGATCTTCGGCGGCGGCCACTCGGCCAGCTGGGTGGAGTGTGGCTCGGCGAGTTGAGGAGCCACTCCGCGTCGTCGCTGGGCCGATCCGGGGGCGGTGGTGGCGGCGGCACGAGGTGGGCGAGGTCCTCCGGCGGGGCCGTCGTCGTCGTCCTGGGCGGCTGCACGGCGTCGTCCTCAGGGAGGCAGAGTCCCAGGGGATCTTGCAGACGGGGCGGTACAGGCAGACGGGTGTCTTCACGCAGTCGGTGTTTCCTCCCGGAGCGGTGTCGGTGGGCGCGCGGCATGGTGGCGAGGGATCGGACAGACGTTCTCTCCTTGGCGACTGCGGCCTGAATGGTCCATGGCGCCGGCGGCGCTAGCGCGCGGGGTCCTTGGAGCGGCGGGCAGGTATCCGTGTTCGGTCAGGCTTCGGCGAGGGGGAAACAACTGTTAAACTTTGTGTCAGCCGGATTACGGATTACCCGGATTACCTCCGGAGTGTCCTCCAGATTACGTTGCCTTTTCTCTAGAATTACCCCGGATTACCCCCAAATTTTCCCGGATTACCCCAAAATTTCTCCGGATTACCCCAGATTTTTTAGAATTTCCTCGGATTACCCCTGCCGGATTACCTAATGGCTGTCAGCCGGATTACCTTAGTCGTTTCCCCCTCGGGCTTCGGAAAACCGGGCGAGGGGGGCGCAGACCGCCGCCTCCTCGGGTGAGGTGATCCCGTGCGAGAGCGAGCAGAGGGGGGCGCAGACCACCGCCACCTCAGATGCAAAAATCGAGTAAGGTATAGGTTGGTGCGGGCGCAGTCCGCCGCCACACCAGAGAAAGATAAGAGCGACCAAGTACGTAAATAAATGGCAATTTATTCAGTGAAAACACAGGGCACGTCGTACAGAAAACGTTCGGGGCACTTCCCGAGCAAAGTCGCCCCTCAACTCTACCGTGGCGCTCCCTCTTGGGCGAGCCCACAAGCTTGGCTACGTTGCGGCCGGTGCTGCGCTCTGCTGGCGCTGGCCGAACTAGCGCTGCCCAGTTACAGCCGTGACAGTCAGGCTCAATGAATGCCATGAAATATGCCATAAATATATACACATTCATTTCAGTACCTCACATTTTGCTACAATGTATCAGAAACATAGCCACTTATGCTCTGAATTTCTCCCGTAATTGTGGTTGTTGAAGTCCCTCCAGAAAACTTATCGGCTGTTGTCTTCTTCTCTATCTGTCTTCATGGTCGCACTTTCTCAATTTGAATTTGTTAATTGTCTTCTGCATGGGTTTTGAGTCTTCTGAAAATTTTCATTGAATCACTGTGAGCTCTCTAGGCATCTAGCTCTCTAATTCCTGGTGTTGGTTGATGCAGTGCTCAAAAGGTGAGCCTCTCTTCATGCTTTTCTTTGTTCCTTAACGGTCAAAAGAGGTAAGTAGCTTTCACTAACTGGGGACTTCCCCGATTTTATGCAAACCTAAAAATGCATGGTGCATGTCATGGAGACTACTAACAAGGTCCATACACTGTCAGCTGTTTGTGCAATGTAAATGTATTCAGAATAGAGATATCAATAAAATTCTGAAGTTTCAGGTAAAGTAGTACTTTATTTAACCTCCCCAAGCAACAATGTGCTCCTGTTTAAACACCAAAAACCAGGTACCATTATTTTGCCTTCCCAGGCCTTCCCTAACTTTATGTAAGGCTTGTTGAAATTGGTGAGGAATGCCGCAATGAATACCATATCAGGCAATATGTCATGCACTGACATGGGAACTGTATTCCTTAAGATGCGCCAGTCCTTGATTGATTTCATAACATGTTCCACATAAATTCTAGCTGTTGCAGTGTCTTTGGTGAGAATTTCTTCTTGAGGGTTTAGGCATTGTCTTTTTTTCTTGAAGTCCGGTGGTTTAATAAGATTCACACCTATTTCGGCAAGTTCTGTCTTGACATTGAACCCTCTGTCAGCCATGACACTATCTCCTTTTTCCAGGTAGTTCATAATGCCGGATGCTTTCAGAATTTCCTTGTCTGATTTGTTGCCTTCAAAGCCATCACTACAAAAAATTACTGAACCGTAGCCGGAGGTGCCAATCAAATACTTTTCAGTATTGCCGTGCTTATAACTAGAGAAGGTGTTGCCCTGCTGCTGAAAATCGGAGGATTTTTCAATATCACTGTTAAAAAAAATTCTGTTATTTTACAGGAAATGTTAAGCTAATTTTGGGGGCATGTGGTGTCGTAAACTATTTTTACAGCGCAGTTGTAAAATTACGACAAATGCCTTGGAACCCAAAAAACGTTGACACCTTTTTT